ACAAGAAGTTTTATTATTTATTTGTTAATAAAGTTTTAATATTTTCTTTAAACAACTTGAAGTATAACTTCAAAAGTTATCTATAATTTTTTTCTATTGTTTATAAATCTCTTTACTTAAAAACATTTTTAATAATTAAAAAAAGTCAAATAACACCTTTAATATCAATAGCAAAAAAGTTCTCAAAAAAAAAACTAATTGTAAAGTACTTGGAGACCTTTCAATCTTTAAAGTAAGAGGTTTATATATAAAATACATTACGATAGATTTTTTTCCTATATAATTGTATGAAAAACACGTTGAGTCGCGTTAAAATTCTTGTGATAATGACATAGTATATCGGAAAGCATAAAATGGAGTCCACGTGATTGTTAAATTCCGAGATCGAGCCATAATGGCGCATTCACGAAGTTTGGCTTAAATAATATATATCGGGCACGCCACGAGATTAACGCATATCGGGTAATATGACGCAACAATCCTGTAATACACGTGATAAGTGTCAATCATGATGTTGTGCCCTGTAACATTTTTTCAAAAACGATGCCACCAAAAAGTCTTGGAAAAAAAAAGTTACAGGTAAAGTACATGTATTTTCGAGCATTGTTTGTGAAGAAACAATTCATTATATTTAATGAAAAATATCTTCTTCTGTAGAGGACGTTTCACCTACTGTTGCTGGTACATCTGGCACATCTAGTACAACCGCACAAGGCAAAGGTGTCGAAATATTTGAAAATGTTCCTCCCCTACGAACGGAACTATCTAGTGGTAAGGTAAACTTATTATAAATATTTTTTACAGAGGAGTCACTCATTACCTTTGCGAAAAAATAGGTCTCGAAGGCTTTCACATAGGCTCCTCGTCAGCCCCTTCTAAAATCTGGGTCAAATATGGCGACAGCAGACCAGTTAGACTTACTTTTGATGGAGAGATTGTAGACGATTTGATAGAAGCGATCAAGAAAAAACTATCGAATCAGTTAGGTGATGTGGATGTTAACCAGATTAATTTAAGAAGACACGGTGAAAAAGAAGATTTGCGCCCTGGTCTTCCAGTGGATAAAAGTTTTGAAAATAATGATGACACACCTCTACAAGTCATTGTAAATGAACCTGGTATGTATTGGGAAAGAGGCGATGATTAACAGGTTAAAATAGTTATATGTTTTTGTGACGTTAAACTAACTTTGAATTTTTTCTATTATTACAAGCGACGTTAAAACGCAAACGTGAAGAACCGGAAGTTTTAAGCGAGATTGTAAAAAGTACAATAAGGGAAGAATTCTCCCGACAAAAGCCTGCTGAGATGATACAAGCATCAGCTCTTTCGGAAATAAAAGCAAGAGAGATAATTGAATGTTACGGATTAAAGCCTTTTGAAGTAAATACACGTCTCTTGTCCTGTGCTATTAAGCTATATTATTATTTATCATATATCTATTTTTAGATCTCGGCGGAAGACTTTCAACCTATTGAACCCATACAATGTCGGCCATTCTTATGGGATATGGAAAATGATGAAGCTCACCAAATGCCCGAAGTTGAGAAATGGTTTAAGAAAGCATTGGATCTACCAAGAGATTTTCATGTAAAGGATGTCCATACACGAAATCATCAACGACATTTACAAACTGCAAATGTCATTTTAACGGGTGGTGCCGATATTTCTATTGGACCAAGTAATACCCCTTGCGTTTGGATTGAAACTAAGAAAAAGAAGGAGAATTTTAAATTGGGACAAGTTATCGGAGGATTATTAATAATGGATAATGCGTACGCCCCAATCCCTATGTCTGTCTTAACTGATTGCAATGACAATTGGACTATTTACTTTTTTTGGGGGGAAGAGAATAAGGATCGTTATTTAGCATCATCTATAATTGATGACCGCAGTGTTGCTTTGGCAATAATTAAACAGTTCGTACTTGGTGAAGGAAGAACTTATTTAGAGTTACTCGGAAAAAATATAAAATATCAAACAGATTTACCCAAACCACTTAAAAAGAGAGCAAAGCTTCTTGAATCTATACTCGAAGAGGTTGATCATGGAATGGGAGACATAATCGATGATATGACTGAAAAAGAATTGTTTAATATGTCAATGCGCAGAAGATTAAAATTAGCGAAAAATATTGTTGGGGTAGAGGAACAACCGGCTATAGATCAGTTGATTAGGCAGTTTAGCGATAATTATGATCCACCACCACTACTGATTTTCACATAAGTAAAATAAAATTGAACGAAAAAATTTACCATATTTAATAAATCAACCGCAAGCAAAGGTATTGGGTATGATGAAGAAGCATATTATATGTTGTGACTAGAACTCTAAAATAGATGAAATAAAAAGCTATTTTTAGTGCAATTGAAAGACGTGCAAGTATTATTGCATAACATATTCCCAACGATATCTTCCCGCATGTCTTTGAAATCCTTGACATACTAGTCCTACAGTATATGATTAATTCCAGTAACATGCCGTGCTTTAGCTATGGATGGAAATTTTTGGAAAGACCCATCATCAAAAATCTGCTTAACACCACATTGACGCTGAAGCCCGAGGCGTACAGCATGCTGAGTTTTCTTTTTGTGAACACCATTCAAGATGAGATGCTTTATTGTTTGTTGAATCACTGTCAATATAATTCACATATTCTTTACTTTCTTCTTTAGGTCAAAATGCTAATGCAACCAAGCGATGGACACAATATTTTTCTCGAGCGACTCTAAGATATCCTGCATCTAGAGATCCTCTTGAGATTAAACCGTTGGGTAACTGAATCCTCCTTAAATATGAAACTTTGATTTTTCGGGAATTAAGCCTTACTTCTCTCCATTCTTCACCTGGATCTTTTTCTCTGTGATCTTCGTAATACATCCAACGCCACCTTCCAGTAGTGTTCAGATTTTTGCTACAACACTGAGAGATATGAGGTCCTGAAATCTTAAGTGTAGAACTTGTAAATTTAGATCAGACATATCTTCCATAAACTCTGTATCGAGAAAAAAATTCTGTTTACCATACCAAATGATCATTTTCGGCGTCAAATATTTCAAACTTAAGTCAAGAAAATATTGATTATGTGATAGTCGAAGTTTTAAAAAAGGAAAATAGAATATGATCGTTACTGCGCCAGTGACATCGATGTCACGTCCGAATTTATACATTAATAAAGTTATAAAAATTCTATTATTTCACAACTATATGCAGTATCATATGAATTATGCACTGATTAAATGATACGATCTCTTGTAGACCCAAAGGGTCATTGCTTCGCAATAAGCTTTACCGCTATTTAAATCGTACGTCTACAGGAAATGTGCGGTGTCAAAATGAACTAACACCTACCAATTCCTTAATTGTTGTCAGTTATCCGTTATCTAACAGTTAACCTGCCATGTATTCACACATTGCCTAGAGACCCATTGCAAAGCAATAATCGGGTGATTAAATTTTGTTAATAGCAAGCTAGATAAAAATTAATGCTTTATCGTGCGAACTTGCATTATAACTCCTCACAAGATTCGAAAGTTTTTCTTTACAGTGATAACCATAAAAATTAGTATTATGCTCTTGATTGATTTTATCTGCAATACTATGCCAAAATTTGTTTCGATTTCTTCCGAGGTTATGGTACTCTATATTTCTATTTCTTTGTTCTTCGATTAAAGTATCTATATGCGCATCTGTCCATTCTACCATTTTCAACCAGAGTTTAACCAGAGTTCTACCAGAATTCTATCAGAGTTCTACCCGTGTTCAACCCGTGTTTATATTTTATTATATATTCATTATGAGAATGTATAACCAGACTTTAACCAGAGTTCATACCTTATTTCGTGTCGCTCAAAAAAGTCATTATAACCAAACTTGAATTGGTATTACATCCGAAATTTTGTATAATTAACCGAAATCGTCTATCTCATCGAACCGAATAGTGAGTGTCGTACATTCCTATCTACCTATTACCGGAAAATCAAATCATATCGATATGCTTGCAATACATATATGCGGGTGATATTACATAAGTTAATCTATGCTTTTACAGTTACTATTTGGATTGGATTTTGATAAGCTTTCCAACATTTGAGACGATAGGTTTTTGTATGATCCTCACTATCCCATATACCTTCTACATTAAACCCTATATTTTCTTTTATATGATATTTATTACATATGTGACATATCTCTGAACAAGTAAAGTAATCGCCAGATTCATTACTATATTTCAAAGATAAAACGGGAAACCGTTCCAATGTCATTTTGATAACATGTTTTTGTTTTTCTTTCGGATCTTCAGGTAAGACAGAAATTGAAGGTCGGGATTTAGTTTGCATAGGTACTGTGGATGGTGCACTTACCTTGGATTTTGGCAAATCATCTGGACCTGAAAAATTGCCTGAGGAAGTCAAAGAGCGACTAGAGGTATAAGTTAATAGGATAGAAGGAGTGGTTATAGTACTTACCTCTGTTTTCGGTAAAGTTTCTTCGCATACTTTAGTTTCTATATCAGATTTCGGTTGACCATGCGCGTGTTCGCAATTGTTCACGCTGATCAATTTTTGAGATTTGGCAAGTTCATCAGTAGACTTTTATTATATTTTAGATTTGTGAATCTGTTAATCTAGAAATAGCATCAGCGCTATATGTAATTAATCCGATTTTATCCTTTCCTACTCCTTTAAACAATGTATAAATATTCTTAGCTTTTTGGGTCATCTTGCGTAAATACTCTCTCTTAATACCAGGTAGATATGGCATCATCTCATCGTAAATTTGTGTTCTTGCCATTTGATCACTAATATTATTTTCCGAACTAAGAATTTTGACCTTTTTTTCATATTCCTCACTATAGCAATACCATTGAAATTTTTCTTTTCTACTCGTTTTTTCGGCCTTATTGAATAAATGTGCTAGATAAGGTGTGGTACCTATAGTTAAGTCACCCGCATATGTCATATTTTTCTCTGCGGAGCAGGACACTCCGTGTCTAAATAAGTCAAAAATTTGTTTTCCAGATATGGAATGTGAATTTTGTGGGATCATGGTGTCGTTGCTCCTAGCCACCTCGTGACGGCCTTCGGTAATAAATTCAAGCAAGTCACTTATTAAACCCCGTTCTACTTTCTGATTATAGGGAATTTTTATTATTGTGGAACAGCTCTTAAGAGTGCCTTTACAGGCATGAGCTCCGCTCTCAGAAGGTGTAAGTTTATTATTTTTAACAACAATAGAATCCTGTTTTTGATTAGACAAGATACTGTATTAGTTGATGATTTGGACTTAGAGCAAGAAAGTTTTATTTCTCCACTTACCTCAGTTTCCACTGTAACGGTTTTTACGACACACGATGAATTGGATTGCTCCAGCAATTTATTATCTGAAGATAAATTAGATGTTTCATTATTTCGTAATAGCTTTTTTTCCCGGTTTCTTTCTATAATCTCGTTGCTAATCTGTTCTTTATATATACGATTAAGAAAATAATCAACCGATTTATCTTCCAGCGATTTGGGCTTTATATGAATAGGCGATTCAGAGTATCGGATTGGAGATGGGCCGGAGATTTGGGACTTTGTCACTTCTTGTACATCAGAATTTGAAAAGTTATCAGATATATTAGACGGGGAATATCATCTAATTTAGATTCTGCAGTATCCTCACTTTGTAAGACAATTGGATCGTTTTTTTCTTATTATTTTGTAACTGTTTTTGTTCCAAATTTGAAATTCTGACATTGAGTTCAGCATTCTTAAAACTTGCGTTCTCTGCATTTTCTTTCGCAGATTGTTCTAATTCCGCAATTCTAGCTATAAGTCCCGTTTCCTTAACCAAGAATTCAGCATTCTCCCGTCTAAGCTTATCATTCTCAGCTACAAGCTTGGAGATCTGTTCTTCTAATGATTCAATTTTAGATTGTGTATTTGCCATTTTTATATAAAATACAGATATGTTTAATTATATTAGTGAATAAAAAAAATTACTAATGCAAGTTCACATTGTTCACGCGATCACTTTTGCCAAGAAAATTCTCGATCATTGTTATTAGCAGATCGTATACATCACTCGCAAAATATGACGAATATACACAACTAATCTAATAATCCAGGCCCTATGGGGCGATCTTCGAGCATTCGCACTAAAAATGAATCATACAGTACATTCTTATACTATAGAGAACCAAATCTAATAGGTCTAAAATGCTAAAACTGCTAAATACTGTATATTATTTTCTATTAGTAATAAATATGTCTGGTTTAGATGTTACACCTATTCTCGATATAAAAGATAAAACATTACCCAAATCCTTTACCATTCGTCCTGGATATAATATGAAGTATGCTGTATCATATATATTACATTATCGTGGAACTTATGCTAATGAACTCAATCAAATTTTCAATAATGAGAGATTATTTGACACTTTATCTACCATAAAACACCTGTTCAATAGGCAATATGAGTAAGAATTCCATTACAGAATTTATTAACCACTGGAAAATTTAGTGTATATTATCGATATTGTTTATTTATTACATTTGGTAAAGGTAAATTTGTCAATTTCAATTATCATAGACCAAGAATCCATAAAAGCCATATGGCTATTTGTTTTGGTTGCTGGAAACTCATAAAAATCAATAATGTACAGTCCAAAAAAACATTCCATTTTACTAAACGAAGATATGTTGATTATTTCGTACTTAGTAATTTGATAATTGGTCATTGAGATAATGAATGCAACAAACCAAAAACTGATTTCAGAAAAGCAAGGATTATACAAAGAGCTTGGAGAAATTACAATAATAGACCTGAATCATTAGCCACTCGAGCTTGGAATTCGTTAAGAAATGATGGTACTTCTAATGATGAGAAATTTTTAGATTTAACGAGACATAAAGTGAAAAATTCTCAGACTTAGGAACAATTTAATCAATGGCGTAGTAAATGGATTGAATTATATAAAAATGATCCTATGATGTGCAGTTTCATTATTAATAGACAATATAAAGAATATTATATTCCAGTTAATTGGATAAGTTCTAAAAAGAATCAATTACAGATTAGATTCCAAAAGTGACTTTTAGAAATAGAAGCATAATACTTTAGACTTTATTTCGTTGTACTGATGGCCAGTAACATTTTTTACTTTAGTTTTATTTTATCTAATACAAAAACCCCTTGATACGAATAAAATTTTTTATTTTTCAACATCTACTTCAACCTCAATCAGGCTGGATACTGATAGCTATTTCATTGGAGAATAGTAGGAAATAAGATGTTAAAAATATCCACTTCAATTTCAATACTAGGCTGGATACATACATCTTCTTAATTATATAAGAAGTGGTGAGTAGGATATGGGCATAGCCTATTGCTTTGCAATACTTATATTGTTGTATTATTAATTAATGAAAAAAATAATTATTATCTCATCATTATGAATCGCACTATACTCATTAGAAAGATCAAGAGCTTGGTCCCATCCTTTGCGAATATAGAGTGGATCCTCCTTTGCTCTTGTTAAATCAATAACAATAAATTCTCTACCTTGCAAATTTTTATCAAGTATATCGACAACATTATACTATTTTTTTATATATTATTGGACAATATTAACTAGTTTATCATATGTCCTACTGTCATTAAAGAGAACAATGTAATTGAGATTTTTTCTTATTAGTTTTGAATAGTCGAAAAAGCTTTGTGTAGTATATATATTACTAATGTTTTTATGATACCCTTCAGTAAAGTAACGAGCAATTTTTTCTTGTATTTTTTTAGGTTTGGTGCATACATCTTCAAATATAGCAAATGTTCCTCTTTCAGGAGAGAAGTCATCAACTTTTGATAATTTATCAGGTTTTATTGCTTGAAATATAACATCTTTACAATATTATTTAGGGCTATTCACAATTATTTTATAATTATCTTGCAGATATTTATGCTTGGGATCATCAATTTGATAATCAATTAAAACTAAATTATCATTCTTAATATATCTCATTTCACCTTTTTCCCATTAAACAATTTATACATTCTATTTTCAAATAAAAGGTTGATAACTTTGTTAGTTTTTCTTGATCTGGTTCACCCTAAACCAATAAGTTGAAAGGTCATTGAGATGTGGAATTAAGGCTATTAAATCTCTTTATATTTTTGTATTCATTAATATTCAAAACTATTCTTTTAACAGGATCAAACTTTTATATTTTTATCTCAATCAAGCTAAGTCACTAATTATTATACCAAAAAATAATGGTACAGATTACTACTTATACCTAAACAAAATTATGTTTATTATTTTTAATTTATAAATTAAATACTATATATTATATGATAAATATAAAAATAGTTGAATTTTGTTAACAACTTTCCAAATTTATAGGTTTTAAACATGATGAGATTCATTTTTCAAAAACAGAAAAAGATCAATGATTATTTCAAAAAATTATTGCAGATCAAAGAATGACAACCAATATTGTATTAGATGATTTTCATTTCTTGCTCTATACTGGATATAATGATAAAGGTGGTTGATTAATACATATCAGGAAATTAATATATATAATACAAAAAGAATATGAAAAAGTTTTATTGAATATCCCTTATGATATTACTAATAAAATTATAATATATCTTCAATATAAATTCAAAGACATTCTATTGGTATCAATAGTAAAGTATCCAAATATCTCATTGCAATTGGATTCAGAGTATGATATTATTGACTAATGAGATAGTATCAATTATCATGTTTATTAATACCTGTATTTTTAAAAACCCTTTTTTAAGCAATTCACTTTTGATATAGGGGAATAAGTCACATATATATGATATTTCAATAAGATCTATACTCTTTTTTTTACATACATTTTATTTTTTTTTGATTATGTGTTTGTTAACTATCTAAGTCTATCTTATCTCTTTTAGAAAACATTGGATTCTTTGAAAAATGTTAAGATTCCTAGAATTTGAATGTTAATTTTAGCTCTTTATTATATTCATATAGTTATATACTGTACATCTAAAAATGATGGCCTACAGAATAAAAATTTTTTATCTAACAGATCTTTGAAAATATATCTACAGTATATTTTATCAATATAGTAGAAACAAATTGGACACCATTTGAATTTCTGCTTCTTGATTTTATAAGGCACATACCATTGATATGATTCATATATATAGAGATATATATTGTAACTATTTATTTGATTAGTTTTATCAAGACACTTCCCACCATACTTCTCAGCATAAGCTTATGTCTTAGATATTTTATTAATAATATGGATGAAATTAACAGACCTGAAACAAACATTTTCTTCCAATATACTTTGGGATAGATATTGAAGCATATCAATATTCAAGTATATAAGCTTTTCCCTTACAAATCCACATGATGGACATATTCTCCATCTAAATAATATAAA